GGGGGGGGGGGGTATGGGGTGGAATTGGCATGTAGTTGTTTTGTGTAATTGTGATTTTCAACAAATTTAGCGCTTTGGAAAAATTGATCATGTGATACCCCTGGATTATCTCTTTTATGTGATTTCACAAGCTTTCTAGACAAGACTTGACATCTGCTTTAGGCAATAAACTCAAATTCACAGCTTCTTCCCCCCTGCTTTCACAATATTCTTGTTTTTTCCGCTTTGGAAATAAGTACCACTTTGCTTTCCCTAAGTACATATCGTCTATCTTATGAGTTATGACACTGAATATATAGTATGCTCTCAAAATGGAGCTTCTTGTCTTTTTCATGTTTGGAGAATCACAACTTTGTAACCGTTTCCTGCTTTGACTAGGTGATATGTTCACTGAGGAGCAGAATGAATTGGTTGAGTCGGCGGCAGAGATGTTGTATGGTTTGATCCATGTGCGGTACATTTTGACTAGCAAGGGAATGGCTGCAATGGTAATCTCTTATGCTTGGCTGTTTCTGTGCTTCTGTGTTGTCTGCTTTCATTTTTATTCACTTTTCCATGATGTAAATTTTGTGAAAACCCTTTTTCAGTTAGAGAAGTACAAGAACTACGACTTTGGGAGATGTCCACGAGTTTATTGCTGTGGACAGCCTTGCCTTCCAGTTGGTCAGTCAGATATTCCAAGATCAAGTACAGTAAAAATATACTGTCCCAAATGTGAGGATATCTATTACCCCCGATCGAAGTACCAAGGCAGTATCCTTTCGTTGCTATCACTTTTTGAAGTTCATCTTTGTTGATACTTTTCCTCGTCATTTATGCATTTATTTTGACTTCTCTGATGCTATTCACAATTATGCCAAGTGTTGAGCTGGGTGTATTTTTGTTGCTAAGTTTCTTTTCTTGTGGTTATGCTTCTTAAATTTTAAATTGCATGGGAACTTGATTGCACACTTTTCTATGGTAGCTTGCTCATTAATCTTGAATAGTAACCGTTACTTTGCCATGTATAGAGCATTTCTATCCTCTATTATGATTTCTTTAACGGCCAAAGATATCGATGGAGCTTACTTTGGAACAACGTTTCCACACCTTTTTTTGATGACGTACGGACACCTCAAGCCACAAAAACCAACACAGAATTATGTTCCGAGGGTATTTGGTTTCAAACTCCACAAGACTTGACAGACAGTGAAGTCCGTTGTGATATTGTGAAGATATTACATTTTTCTGCCACTATCAGTTCTTCCCTGGCTGTGAAGTACAATTCATCATGGTAGAACCCAGGTGAAACAGGAGTTCTAGATATGACAAACTTGATTCATTGATCAAGAAGCAACTATGGCCAATCTGTCAAGTGAAATTCTGTCTTCAAAATTTCATCATGAAATACAAGAGCATCTGTAAGCTTGTTTCTTTTCTAGGTAGAGAATTGCATTTGTTCCTCATGTAGTTCTTTGTTATCTTTATATCCTTTTTCTCTTGGTGCTTCAGTGCTGAATGCTACCATTTACACCAGAGGCACTCATCTGGAGGGCTAGGTTAGGGTACATGAAGGTTTTCCTCCTTTCTGTAGGACCATTTCCAGATGTAATGTTGCATGATGGTAGTAAAGGTTATTCCAATTTGATATAATGACGATAAAAAACAAAATATAATGATAGATAAATGTGAGGCACGAAGGTACAATCCTTGAATTTTGGTACCTGCACACTGTAATTGCATTTACATTTGTAATACTTGGTGGCTTATTTGATTTTGATGGTTACCGTTGTTTAAAGTGATATTTGACCTTAATGCTTCAAGATATAGATATAAAGAAGGAATTTTAATAAAGTGGGATTAAAACACTATTAAATGATCATGTTTTAGTTTCAAAGAACTAAGCACATATATAGATAAAGAGTAATTCGTTGAAAGATAAATTTGGTTAATTTGTGAACTGACGTATTGGATGATGGTCAAATTGATAAGACAAAAACCCTATTGTATGACCCAAAAAATAGATTTTGGTTTTATACAATTAAATTACTAGAAAATTGGGGTTAATTACAGTAAATATCAATATTCAAGGACAGATCTAGTTTTGTAGGGTAAATACGTTAAAGTGCAACACTGAAGAAGATAACTTTAGATTATAAAGAAGCAATAAAGACCTAGAAGTACAAAGGATAGCAATAAATGATAATAAATGACTTCTAAATAGTAAATGAGGTAAAGACAATCCGACAAAGATGTGATTTTTGGATGTCTTTCTAACAATGATGGATGATGATGAGTAACCTTGTATTCCAATCCTTCTTGGATCGGGTGGGAGGGGTAAAAGAAAAGGAAGTATAAAGTCAAGCTTTGTTTGTATTCAATAAAGTGAGTATCTTGTATAGAGAGTATTGATGAAATTCTTTACAAAAGGTCCCATCCCCCTTTCCGATATACATCTCTTCCAACTTACAAGAGCACATGTGCCACAAAATCCTAGATAGTACAACAGAAAGGAATATTCATTATAATATTCTCTAGAGAATCTAAATTCTAAAACTGGTCGTCACTTCATACCGAAGGCGGACACTCGTCCTCATCTTATGTTAAGCCATTTCGACCTTCGACAACGATTTATCCTCCACATTTGACCTCGACCTTTTGGAGTTAGGTTGACACGTCACAACCTTCAGAGGCTCTATTGGCGTTGACCGGGTCAAACGCCTACAATGAAGTTTTCGCCCTTACACCTATAATCAATATGAATGAGGGAATAGGCTTGTCATTATTACTTGTTAGTATTAAGCGCCTACGTTCTTTTGGTGTCGGGACAAATCCTCGTATCGACCCACGAAGAAAATCGGGAAAGTATTCATATCCGTTTCATTATATTTACGTTATTTTAAAATAATACCATCGACGGAAGAGCTTTCATCCTGGATACCAGTGAAGAGCCAAGAAAGTTCGGTTGCTTTTGGTTTATGAGTTGATAGAGGAGAATTCCTGGGGAAATGACATGGATAATCTTTCAATTAGACATTTAACCTAGTGAGAAACAGTGTACTGGAAGCGATTTCATCTTAGCTTTTCCAACATATTTGTCCGTTTTGTTTAGCCTCTCTACCTACACAAAGTAAGAGTAATGTCTGTTGCATACACACTACGGCATTACCCTTTCTTGATCTCACTTATGTTATTACATTAAGTAAAATTTTTGTTGTTCATCTTATCTTCCTCCGAGAATTTCATACAAAAAAAGAAGGAAAGAACACACGAATAGTCAACCCACTAACATTGTCAACTCTGCCTAGCCCTAAAAAGTTTTCTACGACTAGCCCTATAATATTGTAGCCAAATAAATCAGATCCCCCGATGAAAACAAAACATAAAATCCCTGAATAATCGAAAATAGGGAGAAATATTTGCTCCTACAGTTACGACGACATAGATAGTGAACGGTTTCAGTGGGCGACTCCAACAGAAGATATACCAACAACGTGAATAAGAGGACATTATCTACACAATTCATATCTAAAATTGATACAAATTAAGGAGGAGAAGCGGCAAAACTACTCGCAAACCAGTCATAGAAAACGTTAAAGTTTTGATTCAGTATAATGGGGAGTGGGATAGTGAAAACAAGTTTTGCAATTTTAACGTTTATGGAGTTCTGGTCCGAGCAGATTATAGGTTTTCAGAGTTGGTTGATGAAATCAACAATCAACTAAATATCGACTCAAAATTTTCAGTTGAACTGAAATACTCCTTAAAAGATAGATATCCACCGATAGGCATATGAGCCTTGGATTTTACCTTGATTTGATAAAACTGAACTCCGACGTCACTCAATACCCATCGTGTATTGCGTTGAAGGAGAATCCAAATTCTGGTAGTTGCTCCGAACCATTGTATGATGTATGTGATGAGATTATACATGATGTAGATGTACCGTGTCGCACCCCGTTTTCTCGTGAAAGCGAGTTTCGATATGTGACTAACTCTTTTAAAATGGGTATTTAAAGAGAAGAGTTGTCACCTAACGATTTTAAGGTGCATTAGGACACCTATTTGTAAATAACTCTGTTTTAACTAGTCCGTGTCACCAAAGATCCGGTGAGGGCTCAAATTACCTCGAAAAAAAGGTGTTAGGCACTCTTCGAGGTCCACAACTGTGGGTCCCAACCAAAATTCACGCTATGTGGGATTATTGGATTGTCTTATGTGATCATGTAAGTAAAGGAAGACAGAGAATTCAAAAGTTCAACTACAAGTGTAAAGAAAATTGCACATCTGAAGGAATTAAACACAACTTAATTATTCTAAGTTCAAAGAGACAAGGTGTGAACAATAAACATATAAGGCGGGGGGGGGGGGGGGGGGTTAATTGTTTTAGCCTAAAGGATCATCCCGTACAACATAAATAATACTTCGTAACTCCCTTAGGGTAGGGGTTGCTCATATTATTTAGCGGGCACATACTATCATCTCCTGCTACCCAATTACTATGTTAGTGTTATTTACCTAAAGCGCTCTAGTTTAATTCTAAACCGTGTCCTATGTGTGCACTACCCGTCTCATGCCTGTGGTCTAGGAGGCTTTGGATCCTAGACCTTACTTAGGGTGCTCAAAAGATAAAATTAGGCGCACATTCAAAACATGTAGGATTACACGTAAAATTAATACGGCTCAAGTTAGCCTCCACACATAAGCAACAAAAGCACGCAGATAGATTTTGTATTAGGCAGTAGATAGTTTCAGAATTAAGGCATATTAAAGTCGTTAAATCCTATAGACATGGCTTCTATGTGATCCCATTTCAAGACGTCCTACAAGCAATGTTGCTGTCTCAGACTATCGAATTTGCAGATTATAGGTACTATCAAACCTATAGACATGATCTCTAAGTTATTTGTGCCATGGGGCAGTGAAAACTATTAGAAAACTTCGGAATTATTTGTGTTTGATCCTATCGACATACTTTCTAGGCGAGTAACAATATCCTATAGGAAAGTTCTTTAATAGCTAATATTTAAACAGATTCATCATGCATATTCCTATAGACATATTATCTAGGCAGGCAGTGTAATAAGAACAACAGAAGCAACCAATTTAATAAATCAGTTAAACCCCTATAGGGATGGTATCTATATGCATGTTATCTAATAATCATACTGTAGTTACACAATTAATAAAATATTTATTGGCGTTGGATTCCTAAAGACATTCTGTCCAATAACACATAGAAGTAAATATGGGAGCAAGTAAAGCATTTACTCAAACTTTACATGCTTTTGGATTATGTACGAGCATTAGACAAGTTAAGTAAGTGACGTGTGTGATTTACTATAGGCATGATTTCTATTAGTGTGCAGAATTAAAGCACGCCAAACAGAAAGAGAAGCAAATAAGCCCTATGGACATGTTTTCTATTCATTTAGGTAAAAATTACAGTATACCCGCTTTCCCCATTTCACTAACTTCGTAACTATTTGTTTACAAACTATTACAGGACCAGATAATAAATATAAGTATAAATATTGTACAAGGAACAATCACAAGCCCAAATAAAAATAACTCAGTACTGCCCGGGTCTTCAATAAACTTACTTTCACACGAAGAGCAGGCCCAGATCAAAACGTATTTCAAATATGAGAATGTGTCCATTTGCACAGCCAAGGCCACACATGAATTCATACCAAGCCCAATAATTATAGATTGACCATTTAACCAAATAAGTTAATGAGCCACACACAAAAATCAATTAAACAACCCTGAAGCATTACCTCATAGAGATATGATCATATGACATTTAGTAGGATTCACATAAAACATATTAGCATTTCAAAAGCAACAATGACAGGATTGATTAAACAAAGAACATGAGAACTAGGAGAATCAGTAGGGTTTAGTTTCAACATGGTAAGTTTGACATGGCAAACTAACAATCATAGGTTCAACAATTCAGCAATTGATAAATACAATATTAGGAGAGCTGAGGAGACATGCCATTTAGGAAACATAGTAAATATACTAGACACATACATGATGAACATGCTAAGCTTTTCAGAGTGAGTTTAGAGTAGAGCATGATCCAGAGATAGTCTAAAAGGGATTTTAAACTTAGGAGTCCGAGTCATGAAAGTTTGATAGAGTCGTAGTCAGGGAATGATAATTACACATAACAAACAGGCAAGTATGCATGATTTACAACAATCAATAAGAATCCTAACATGCTGAGTATAACACAAAAATTCCCAAGTCTAAAGATATCATGGCAGGAAGACATATCAACTTAAGGTTAAACAAAACAGGAAGACTCTAGAACTTAAGCTAGCCAACTATGCATAATAACAAAAAATAAGTGTATTGGGATTTAACTAGAAGCCTAAGCAATAGTAAAGAGTGCAGGATTTACCAAACACCATATTAGAGTTCTCAACAATAAAACAACATATTTGGTTAAGACATTGAGACAACAATAGGATTCATGTAAGCAGGGAAAACAACAGAGCCCACATAAAAGATTTATCAAAAGAAGCAAGTTCTGGGTAAGAGATGATTCCGTAAGAATTTCTGTACGAAAATCCAAGACAAGGCATGAGAAAAGTCTCACAACAAACAATAGGTGATCAGAACAACAAAGTAGGCTAAAGATAGTCAAAATCATTCAAGTTGAAGATAATGAGCATATATTGAAGTTTCGAATCTATGCAGGTTTTGATACTAGGAACTTTAGAACTACAGAATAGCTTCAAAGCAAGTAAGATTGCAAACAAA